TGGATAGTGATTCTCATTTTTTAATATTTTATTATAATAAAAGTTACACAGGAATACTCTTTCTGAATATGCCAACTTAATTTTCATCATACTTGGTCGAAAAATAATAATTAAAACATACTCTCCAAGTTTTGAGATTTTTGTAAATTAAATATTAGAGAAGATTCCTTTTTGCTGATATAATTGTGTGAGCTGATGACGAGATTATATTTTTCATTATTTTGTTTTCCGACTTCTTGATTTTTAATTTTTTTTAAATAAAATTCATAAGTATTTTTTAAAAAATTTTATTTTATAATTTTTCTTCTTCTTTTTTCATAAATATTTATTATTTTTTCCCAAGTTTTCTCTGAATATATATATATATATATATATTAAATTTGCATATATAATTTTCTGTATATCTTATAGTTTCAAAAATAGTATCTAGGTATTATAAAGTGGATGTGATCTGGGTTGTTTTCTCAGAGACATCAAGTAGCTAATCTGGCAATTTATTCTAACCAGTTACTAACTAATTCCTAACTAGGTTCAAAACATAAAAATCCTGTTTCAATTTGTAGAGTATCTGATTTTGTTGTGCTTAGTAGTTTTGAAAATAGTGCAGCTAAGGGTGTGGTTTGTAGTTAAGTCCCTGTTCAGAAAGCAGGTATAATTTGTAAACTATTTATTTAGTCTAAAATACTAAAAATTGCTGCTAGTTTGGCTTTATTTATTTATTTTTCTACGTGTGATAATACGATAAAAGTGATAATACAGAAAAGTAAATAATAAAAGTAATAGTTTAAAACTGTTGTGACAGTAAAAACTAACTGTGTTTTGTGTCAGAGAATTTTTTGAAGTCCCCTAAAATATGTTTGCGTCATACATTGTATTGGATATTAGATGAGCACTTAATTTTTCATATGTTATTTACATGCATTTATGCATACAATTAAGATTCTCTTTTTCTTTAAATGAAGTATCTTTGACTAAATCTTTGCTATTGACTTTTTTGTATTATTTATGTAGGATGAACGTTATTATTGAATTCAGTCACAAGATTACAAAATAAGTGCAGGGGTGATTGTATTACCCCGATATGTATTGTATTACCCTGTTATTACCTGTGTGTATCCTGAAATTCTAGATTTTTCGTATCATTCTTCCTGGTCTAAAAATTAGAAGCAAAGTATGCGATTTCTCCCTGAATATTGCAGAATTTCGTGTATCTCAAGACCATTGGTTCGTCGAATTTCAAAGCTGAAGAAAGCTAATGTACAACCAACGAATACAAAAAAAAACAAAGAAAAACTGAACCTATTTCTAATAGTAACTACTGGAATAAGTTTTGGCATTCGTTTTACAGTGCAAGGTTAACTTTTGAAGTTATTTTTTATCATTGGTCTTCATGATCAATAAACATAATGAATTAAATATTTTGATGGATTTTTGTGTAGTGTTTGTCCAAAATAATGTTGATAATTCTATGAATAAGTGAAAGAATTGTTTTTTAAATTTTGTAGTTTTTAGAGTATTATGAAGTTTTATTCTTATTTGCTTTTACCTTAAATTTAAAATATTTTTTTAATCATTAGAAAATTTAAAAGAAGTCAACGCAGCTGTACAACAGGATTATGAAAAAGTTTTAATCAAAGCTGAAACTTATGAAAAAGAAATAAAAGAATATCAGTTGGAAAGTAAAAAATGGGAAGCAAAATATGAAGCATTGCATTCTGATTTTGTTACTGTAAGTTTGGTTTTATTTTAAACCAATTTTTAATATTTATTGATAACATAAATTTTTTATTTCGTCAATTATTGTAGATTCTATTTTGTGTTTGTCTGATTTCAGCACTGTGTTATTCAGCACTGTCTGATTTCAGCACTTTTTATGTTTATACATAATTTGAATGAGGTGATGGATAGTGATTCTCATTTTTTAATATTTTATTATAATAAAAGTTACACAGGAATAATCTTTCTGAATATGCCAACTTAATTTTCATCATACTTGGTCGAAAAATAATAATTAAAACATACTCTCCAAGTTTTGAGGTTTTTGTAAAATAATTTTTCTAATAGTAGTCAATTGAAGCAGAAATTTTTAAAATGAGTTGAATTTTTATAAATCTTTAATCAGTATTCAAAAACATGATATGTGGTGGTGGCAAAAATTGTTTTAATTCTAATATGTTGATCTTGCTACCACTAGAAAAAATATCTATACTATGGAAATTCTGTAATAGTTGGGAAAGTGTGAATTTAAAATAATAATTTTTTTAAAAATCATTAAAACTATTTAAAGTTTATTTATTCTTTAAACATGGTGCATAGCGTTTTTAAAAAGTGTTTATTTTTGATTTTCGTTTTTTAAAAGTCCTTAAAGGGGCTTTTTTATTGGATGTTTTTAAAAAGTGCTTAATTTCTCTTTTCAAAAAATGGGACTTTTTTTCATTACCATGTCGTTTTTAGGCATGTATTATGACGAAATGTGGTTTTCACGTTGTTTTATCCAAAGTTTTTACAATTCCTTTGAAATAATGCATTTTGACGTACCGTCAGTCTGTAAAGTATGAAAGCACCAATAATTTTACATGTTTGATGAAATATTTAGCTGGGTTCAATAAAATTCTTACACTCTCATGTGCAACTCTGCTACATTTTGCAAGATGTTCTAAATTTCAGGCTTCATTTTCCACCCTCTGAAATAGAACCGAAAAATCTCTCGATCTTTTTATGGTGGTTAATATAATCATGAAAAGAGTTCTTAGTCAGGAACTAGTCATTTTATCATGATCATGTAAAGTCTGAAGGTTATTTTGCATTTTGTTAATGTATATAGTGCTTAAAATGTTTTTTGAGTGCTTAAAAAAAGTACTTAAAAGGTGCTTATTTTTTGTTGAAAGATTTGGCTACGCACCCTGTTAAAAATTACGTATTCTTGTGTAGCATTTTGTTTTTTATTTTATTTTTTAAAAGTTTTTTTAGATTCAAATTAATTTCTTATTCATTTTGTTTAAAGTGTTTTTCATTCCAGTTTGATGTATGACCTATCATTCAAAATTGATCATACTAGGTTTACATTTTTTTACAGATCCAAGAAAAATTCAATATATTGAGTCAAGAACATTTCAAAACTCAAGAAGATATGACAGCTTTACTTGAAGATAAAAGAAGCATTGAATCTTATCATGTAAGTTTGGTTTTCCTTTTGTGGAAGAAGAAAAAAGTTATTTAGTCTCAGCTGTTTTGGATTTATATTAAGTGGATAACCATTATACAGTGTATCGTCAGATGTTCACAATATTTCTATTTATTTGATGTTAACATTATTTTTAGGAAATGTGAAACCTTCTGTGTTATCTGCTTAAATATTACACAATGAAAATTTTTTTTTAAATGAAGATTTCTAAAACTTCTTGAAATATTTTGATAAAATATTAAGTAATAAAGAAGGAGTTATTTATACAGTTATTATAGTCAAAGGAGCTGTAATATTAACTTTTATTAATATTACGCCATTCTTCTCAAATAGACTTGCGTAGTTTTTTGTAATATAAAGGTTACAGTTTACATTATCTGATAGAATATGATCTACATATTCATGCCATCCTAACAAGT